TATATATATATATATATATATATATATATATATATATATATATATATATGCACATTCTTTCCCGCCGAACACGCCCATGGTTGCAAACGGTCTTGAAGGGGAATCTGGCAGACAAAAACATTATGTCACTCCCAGATATGAGCACTTCCCCCTATAATTCTCGTATTGGACAAAATTAGATTTTCAACTCATTCCTTACCATTTATTTGACACTGCGCTACCCTATCCCACTGTTCACACACACACACAGATGTACTCACCTCTTAAGCATTATTTTTTGCCAGTAACCTGGCTGAACCTCCTGGCCAAACGGAGACTCACGTTTGGCAACAATGGTTGCGGTCATCATAGCCGTCATCGTCGTCGCCGTCGTTCTGTTTTTCGGCAGCTGATCAATCAGCAATCCAGACTGGCTATGAAATCGAATCCAGGATAATGAGAGCCGATCGCGAGCGGTAACTGTGAGCAACAATATTCGTTTTTCTACATTCGTCTCCTCCATCAGACCCAACAAGATTTGATCCCTTGAGAAGTCTGAAAAAAAGAAAAACGGTAGAATGAAAATGATGTAGCGAAATAGATGAGCATGCATCCGACTGATGTAAGCGGTAAAATCCGTCTGTGTGTGTGGCGCGGGGTAGGGTGAACGCAGAAGAGTACTCACTTCTAGCCACGCGATCATTCGGATTTGCTGCTTGCATTTGAACTCTTACGTCCATATAGATATCGAAATGTGGAGTATTTACCCTGAAAAACGATGAATGTCAAAAATTAGTTCTAATATTGGATTACTCGAGACGACTGACTGGGAGGTAGAAGTTCATTTTTAATATACTTTTGTTTGAGGAATATGGTAGGAAATGTTTAAACAATTATTTGAGACACCGAAAAATGAATGGAGATATTTTGATATTCTACATAACTTTATAAGTATAATGTAGTCGTCAAACTTTCAATATTTGGTGACCAGTAAATACTATGCATTGAAAATCGCCAACATATCAAAGTTTTTAATTCGGAGTTTGAAGTCACCCTGCACATGGCACTACCTCACAAGAATATTGGGATCACCAAGCAGACGTAACCGGTTTTTTGTCTGTGGTGTCCATATAAAGCAAAACTTCATTTGATCGTGCAAGTGATTTAACGTTTAAGATATCAAATTTGTTTCTTGATATATCCGAACGAAAAGCGAAATTTGTAAAATTATGATATTGTCCTATTTCTCGTCCGTATTCTGGTCTGATTAGAAACCTAAGGTTCGGTTAAAGGTTCGCTATTCTTTTTAAAATTAAAACGACACTACTTGTTAGCGATTTGAAAGATTTCAGAAAAAGCCAAATAGAGACCTGAACAGCTCTTCCGTCTTCCTGGGTGCATGATAGTGCTCCTACAGGGGCTGTACCCAACAAGTTACTTTTTTCGGAGCTGTAACCGTCCGTCATCTTCTGGCTCCATGGGAGATAAAACTCAACGACCTGTGTTGTCATCTTATTTTAGACCTATTACGGAAACCAAACTATCACTCATCTCCATCAAAGTAAAATACTTCATACCATTGCAGACAATTGCCTGATTATTCTGCATCTTCAGTTTCACGCCCGTACACCGATACTGGTCGCAAACAATTACTTAAGGAGAGTGAAAGTTTTTCCAAGGAATCATTTGCTTTTCTTCCATATCCATGCATGCAAACTGAAGAACATCCGACATTTGATTGCCAACGCTCAGACATTTGAATCGTCGCTTCAAAGGGAAGCCAACAGAATATAAAAATTTCACTAATACGTGCATAAATTTCCATCGTGATCAGGACGCTTAACAACCCTCTGTTATGTGTGCACACCTCTGTCCATGCATTTTGACGGCTTTACTCGGCCTGACCGACGCGTTCACTCCTTGCAACCGCAGCCAAAATTCGTAACCATTGGTTTTCGATAACCCCGCAATCGAAAGATGCAGTGAAAATGACCACATTGTGGCATACTATTTAAGACCTGTCCATTTCTCTGAAACGTCACGTTAACACCCTACACATCTCTTCTTGTTTTCGAAACACGGTTGTTTAACTGGATAAAGTCCCGGTTGCTTGCAAAATATTCGCATCCTAGGATTGTTCATAATTGAAGAAATTTCAATTCAAAGACAGGAAGAGCACGTGAGATGTTAAACTGCAGTACAAATTACAAGTATTCGACAGTTTTACGCGCTTACATGTTTAGAAATGATCGATCGGTGAACTCCAAATAGCCATCACCGTCAAAAGAGATCCGCGATGTCTTGTCTAACATAATTTCTGGTGGTATAGAAAAGAGAAGCAAGTAAGAGCTATGGGGTAACAAGCTTTACCAGATAGTGAATGAAAACCGTCAATAAGCAGTAGAAACTGCTGATCGAACTCGGTGTAACAAAGAGGATACATTTCGGCATGGAAACACTCAAATCATGACGGCGCTGAGCCTGAACTGCGGTATGCAAGAAAACGCTACTTGGTTCACCATCCTGGATAATATGCGATAAACTTTGAAACATCAGAACACAAGTCCGAAAGAGAATAATTGTTTTCGAGTGATTCACACTCGTACCTGTGCAGATCATAGAAGGGTTTGGGGACATATTTTCACGCCCATTCGAAAGATCATTTAGGATGGGGAGAGGGGAGGGTTGGGGTAAGCCCTGTGTGTCTGTGTTCGGATAAGATTGATGGTGATTGGAGCGTTGGTGATGTTGATGGTCCATTTAGGGTCAGGATAAATGAAGAGCTTGAACCAGTCGCTTTTGTGCACATAGTCCTGGTGCGAAAAGGTGAATGCCTATCGCCTCTGCGGTGACTATTGTGTGTAATCGCATTGCTTTAGAGGGTTTGGGAGGCACAGGATAGATTACGCTGAAAGCAGATTCTGGTCTAACTTGATCGCCTGTATCCACCAGATCACCAAGAATGGCTCTTTCGATTCCCCCTATTCCTCCTTGTTTTAACCAACGTGGGCAGTGTTCCTTCATCCGTTAGGATAGTTACCTCTCCAGACGGGCAGTGTACGTTGCATTAAAAACGCACCCGAAAGAGTGGATATCCATAGAAGTGGCCGGCGTAGGCCGCCTATCTTAGTGGCTAGGTTCGGATGATGGGCGAGCCTGTGAACACACGTTGTAGGTCCGCTTCACTGCGCGCGTCAGATGTTTGTTCAAGACGGCTGATATAGCATCTCCTTGAAAAGGTAGACGTATAAATAATATCATTTTTGAGTCCCATGACTCTGTTCGAAATGTGACTTTTCCCGAAAGTTTCTCTCGATGAACCGTTCAGGATAACCGTTTTTTTCTGAGAACGTCCTTAATTTTTCTTAGTTCTTCATTTCACACATTGTCAGAGCAGATCTTCTAAGCTCGTGATGTGAGCCTTTGAATAAGATTTCTTTTCTGTCTGAGTGAGAGGAAGCTGTAAAAGCTCGTACATTATCCCGTTCAAGTTACTTACTCTTGTTTACCCAACCCCTGTCCTCTCCCATCCTCAATGACCTTTCGATCAAATGTGCAAATGTGTCCCCATTAGCAACAAACCCTTCTATGATCTGTACAGGCAAGATTATTAATCATTTGAAAACAATTATTCGCCTTCGGACTTGTGTTCTGATGTTACAATGGGATTGTTCTTGAAATTGAAACTTTGAAATCCGAAAAAAATTTCTTATTTCACCATATATTCTCTCATTCGGTAATAAGAAAAATCAGTCGTTTTGGGACAAATCTGTTGTCTTAACTACTTCTTCATACATTTACTGTTACATGAATGTCTATTTGCAAAATGAACAGGGGTTTCACGTTCTCAGTAAACTGGAACTACTTTAAGTTCGGTTATTTGTAAACTGGTAAAAAGCGAAAGGTTATAAATTACAGGATACGGATTGGGGTTGTGGGAGGGGGTATGTCTGGCGACTTTTGTCTGACAAGACAGGTCACGATTCCTGATCTCACCTTACAGAGTTTATGATCAGATTCCCTACCTAGGTCAGCTTGAGGCCAGAGTAGAAAATGTTGCGCACAGACATAGGTTTTATTTTTGGCCGTTTCTGCTTTTGCTTGCTGGCGTTGTCCCAAGGGTTTCCACTACTGTGAATACTTCGTTATGTGACTAGGATTTTCATAATCAATTGCATGTAAGGTTTGTGCGATAATTAAGTTTTTCATGCATCCAGGGACTAGTCAGGCTGGTTTGTGCGTTTTTTGATTCCCTGATACAGCCACGTCGTCCTTTGACCTAGCAACTGGCCGCCCAGGTGCAAGTGGATGAACAGGTAACTGAGATGAGGATAGGCGATTTCCAAAGAAATTGTTGCATACTATGAACCAGATAGACAAAGTTGTTCACAGAGTAGCGGCCGAATAGATGCAAGCAGTCAATTTTTGTGATTTTCTATGCTCTCTCATCGTTTTAGAAAATTGATTGTAGGAGTAATTATTTTCTCGTTACTTTTATTGTTTCTGGTGGAGACGGACGTTCTGTAATGTTCTCCCCAACAAACCGTGCAGAGTATTCGTTGTTTTGAGGCATGTGCTTGACCTTCTCAAGTTCATCCGTAATTGTCTCGTTCGGAAAAAGTCGACGAGTTCTACATGGATGCTTGATATTGTATTTCATGAAAACGAAGCTTAGGAAATGCGAGCATTGACCGTGCACAGTTAATAGTTGGTATATACAACGATGTCTGTTTCTTATTTGCCTTCTTTATCAGCTTAGTACTAGGGAAACAAAACTCGATCCTAGTCCTCAGTCAGAAAATTGGATAGGTGACACAAAATTCCGACGTTGTGAAACTATTCTTGATTGAGTAGTCATGAGAGCATAAGTTAGCAAACAAGCTCATTTTCGGTAGCACCGAAAACGAGCAGCTCCAGTTCGCGATTATTCCGGTCACTGTAAAACAATCAGCCTGTTCATTGAATTGCCTTAAAAGGAGACCACACCACGATCAAGGTTATTAGGACTTCGAACATCAACCGTAGGTGTGTTTACTATACGTCCAACATTTGTTTGCTCACTTGCATTCTTGTGAGCCCAATCAAGAAGACAGAACTACCTCGTTCAATGAACCATTGAAAGGCTCTCTTTCCCATACAGTGCAGCAAAAGATGCGCTGGGAAGAGAAGTAATTGTGATACGACTCAGTATTATACTTCGTTCAGGCAGTCAATGATACTCACTAACAACACAGTCAATTGTGTGCTAGCTTTCTCTCCTCACCAGTCACTCTGCACAAGTCAAAAGGTCGACATCACCTCAACATTTCGGGATCTTATCAAATGCAGCAGATTTGAAGCACTCAGCTTCATTAAGGCGATACAACAAAAACACTACCAGCTACCTGTTATGACTTACAACTGACAGGTTGTGTTCATACATGCCTGTTGTCAAATTGATCGATCGATTGATCGGTTGATCGATTGATTGACTGTTTGAATCCTGGCTTGACGGCATTCGCATATAGTGCGACGTGTAAGCCGGAATCGGCCTGCCTGCCTGCCCTCCTACACGCTGATCGTTCCTACTTGTTCCCCGGTTTGTGTACCAGCTGCATATTTGCTGTTTATAATAAACGTACTGCTTCATTCGTTGTGTGTTTATTTGCCTACTAAATCTGAGACACAACACTATCACTGGGCAACTGGAAGAATTTAACTACCGAGCTGTCTTTCCTGATTTTTCACCCCAGGAACGGCAGGTTATTTGAGGAGCGGGGTGAACTCTTACTGCTTCATTTGTATGCCTCTATATTACTCATCTTATAGTGTTACGCGTTATATCATTAAAAACGTGTAAGCAATATAACCATCTCTGTAAATCTTATTTGACATATCTCGAAGCCATAGATTCAATTGAAAATGTAACCAACTAAGCCTTTCCTGCTTATCAAACAGTGGAAGAAAGCACAGTTTTATAAAAATTCTGTTAGTAGATCTTTGGTTTTCTTTATTCAGATCAAATTCTCCTCTACTCTATCGTGGTGTCTTTGTTTCGCAACAGCTACCGTTGGGGAGACTGCTTCTCTCCACTTGCTGAACCCTAATCAAAATTGTTCATCTAATTCGAGAGACTCGTGTTGCTTTCCGAATCCATAACAGCTTCCCATCAAAATCAGGCATCTCAAAGTAATTGGACTTCATTGGTCCACATTTTCATCACCTCCCCCACCGCACCCTGATTGATAGACAAATATTTCGTACGGTGTAGCGTACGCTACAGTTTCACTAGCTGGCGCGGGTTGTTTGTTGGTGGGAGGGCAGTGACGAGACCGAGTCCTATAACACACACACACACACACACACTTATGAGCAGTTTGATCACAGATAAAACTTCCGGTCAATCTCGCATCACATGCTGTTTGGGGCTGAGCGATGACAACGACACGGAAAACTCTTCACAGCGAGGCAAAATAAACCGGTGATTGGGATTAGGGCTGTACCTGATGTGAAGCGGAAGCTTGAACCACGCGCGATGGATGAGAGCAAGATGGCGATAGATCGCACTAGAGCGTGCGATTGTGTCCACATCTGGGACAAGTTCAACTAGAGTATGAACGAAGGTGACCGATTTTATGCGCGTGACAAACATAGTTGCGTCCCTTAACAAGATAATGCTGTGGTCTGTTTCATTCCCACACGCGATGCAAAGTTGAAAAAATGTTGTCATATCTTCACAAATAATCAGTGTGGTTTACCTATCCGTTGTGCAGAAATGAAAATCTGTTGTATAATTCTTTTTAAATGCTACTGTTTTTCCTAACCAGTCAGTTGGATAGGACAGACGAGTTTGCTTATGTGGTTTTTCATGACGTCTCGCTCTTCGGTCTCCAAGATAAAATCATGAATGCGATTTTTCATTCCGCTTTTGAGCACAGAACAACCATTTTCAATCCTTAAGGTATCAAAGCTGTTGAGATTAGGGCAGCATGAATCCTGTTAGATCCCAACTTATATTAAATAACATTTGCCTTCCCTTCTGTAGTTAACCCGCAACGTGATCAGGCAATATCAGTATGCACACATAACGCTTACTCTCCTGACAAAACGATCCGGTATAACCCAGCAAACAAGAGCATTGAAAGGCGCTTTGTTTCGGTACACACTGGCCTCGATTGGAGCAAGCTGAGGCGGGACTGGAACAAGCATGCTCCCGGCAGTTGTCCACATTGGAACTGTGCAACATCTGATCGATTAGTTGAACCGAAATTCCGTTCAGTAGCAACTGGTGGAGAAAGCAAAGATGTTACAGTGACATGTTATCCATAAACGAAGAGCTATTTGCTCCTTCACCTGCATCCGAATCTCCGACACGGTGAGGCAAACTAAACAGAATAACACATAAACGAATGTGAAATCAATTACTTTGAGTTCCATTATACACAAGATATGGAAGAGGCTGTCAAAATCACTGTCGTTGTCGAGCATCGGCCTTTACCGAACCCAACTTTAGTGGTAGACATCAGTTCTTCTTCTTTTTTTACTCTGCTGGATACCATATTTATCCTGATGCGGTCTTATATGAAACATCACAAATTCAGATGGCTTGCTACCTTGGTAAGAGAAAAGATTTATGTTTGTATGAGTTTTACTCATTCTTCGTCATCATCGATTTACTTCCAGGTGGCGGACAACATAATGTTGCTAAACGAAGATGCAGTTGGGCTGCAAGCTTTTCTGGATAGCTTGAGCGCCAGCGTATCCATGTTCGGTATGCTTTTTGTACCTTCAAAGTATAAAATGTTACTACAAGACTGGTTTAGTCCAGCACCCAGCCTCACTCCAACTGGGGAAGAAATAGAGCAAGTGGATAAGTTTTTTTATTTGGGCAACCACATCTCACCCGGTGGACGCATCACGGATGAAGTGTCAGCTCGCATACAGAAGGCTCGAGTGGCATTTGCCAACTTGAGACATCTGTGGCGCCGTCGCGACATCTGGCTATCCACGGAGGGTCGAGTGTATGCTGCAGCAATTCGACCAGTGCTGCTCTACGGTGAAGAGACTTGGGCATAGATTGTCGGTGTTCAAACACCGCTCTTCACGCCACATTACACGAATCTGCTGGAGAAACCAGACATGTAATGCTGAGGTTAGATGCAGAGTTTTCGGTAATCGCTGTCGTCCAACGGAACAACTGGTCAACCTGCGAAGGTTACGTTGGTTGGGGCCTGTGTTATACGGTGAACCATGTATGCCGAGGTAAGTGTTGAGTGGAAAAAGCCAAGGGTGGTCAAGCTAAGACCTGGTATCGGGGTATGGAATCCCTAACCAGATAAATGGGTCACACAGGCCCCCTGGCTGGGGACCTCGGGATGATCGTAATCAATAGTTAGAGACACTGAATGATATGGCTGTTTGTCGTAAACAGTGGCGTTCGTGCATCTTCTCAATTTCTTCGCAACCTTAGTCGACTGAAATTCTCTCATTTCTGCTCGACTCTACTTTCAACTATCCTGTCTTTCTCCTATTCTTCATCCAAATAGGCAGCTAAGAGATAGCAATCAAAACCCGCGCCCGAAAGTGCATGTTTGTACAAACTGAAATTCATACTAAATTTGTACGGAGAAGATATACCTATTTATCAAAGTGGTTTTCAAATCGGCACGTGCTAGTACGTTGATAAAACCCCGTCGGTTTGGGATTCAATTAGAATTACCTCAAGTTTCCATTTTGATGGTCGAAAGATTGTTTTTCATACCGATTCAGTCTGCCGTGAATTAATAACAGTATCCAGAGTTAGACACAACTCTTACTATTGGCGCGAAACATCCAAGGTGTGCATTCACCGAACTAGCGAGAATTGACACACTGTTAAGCTGTTAAGCAATTCCTCCGGTCCCAGGCGACCTTCTTCTCTTTTGTTTGCCTCTATTGTGTTTTAATTTTTCGTTCTGCCTCTCTTCATTCCGGTTTTATACAAAATAGTCTATTGATCCTCTGGAGTTTATTCGTTGCAACTAAACTTATGGCATTATGGACATACATCTCTACCGTAATGTTATCTGGTTTGATTACCTTCAAAGTTCCTCAGAAAATATCTCTAGTTGGCCCAGGACTCGTTTACTCAAATCGAATTTTTCAGCCGTGTTTGGTTTGCGTCACCTTATCGTATCCGATTGAGATAGAACGTCAGCCTAAACACCGGATATCCAGTGTTTTCAAAAAGAATAAGCGATTTTACACGTCACACAATCCGATATCCCAACTGCACATCACTATCACTTTGATTGAAGGAAAATACTGCCCAAAAATAAGTATCCGAAACAAATCACGTTCACTTACCTGTTGAATACACCCCTGAAATCCAGTCAGATTAAACCCGCCATCATTCGTGACCCATGTGGTCAAACTGGCGGCCACGTGGTCCACATCCGGATGTCCACCCAGATACAGTTCTTGCCCCAGTGTCAGCTGAACCAAATCGCCCACAGAGAACGCTGACTGTAGTTCGGGTTCGCTGTTCAGGCGCAGAAACCCCTCTCGACCAATGTGCCAAAACTCCACGGTGTGCCAAGTATCCATTGCCAATTTGTTGGTACTTCTTTAAACGGACGTAACAGTGATTTAAGGGCAGGGGGCTATTGTCAAAACTGAGTATGGCAAATGACTTTTATAAACACCTGAAAAATTATATATAAATATTCGGCCAATCCCTGTGATCGATTTATCTCACTCGTGTGCAAGTCATAACCTTGGACTTATCAGCTCTCACCACTGTCAGTTTGAACACATTTACTACCACCATACGTAACATCATGTCTTCCGACCACAGAAACTTTGGTGACTATGTAATTCACACCCCTTGGAATATAGGCTAATCTTTGATATAGTGGATTGTACTTTTCGCTATTTTGTAACGTGTGACCAATGCCAGTTCAAAATATTTTATCAAGTGCTAACCGGAAACTATTCTCAGCACTTATTCAAGTAGCTTTCAGATACAAATCTTTCATGTACTTCTATTTCGGTTTGGTATTAACCGACCCTTTTTCGATTCATCTGTCTAAACATCCTATGGTACAAGAGAAGCATCAGCTTGTAAGCTATTCTCATAATAAAACTTTGACTTTGACTTTGACTGCTCTAGTCATCTCATTGCCTCACAGGGCAGTGTTACTGACTCTGCTCTGACACGTGGTCTCTTTCACGGTATCGAATAACTGAGATCACACAAAGTTAGGACATCAGCAGCAAGCATTCTATCTTTGAATCCAAAACATGGGTTTGAACATGGGTAACATGGGGAGCGTTCCTGGAGGAAAATTATTACGCATAACGGTCGTATCACCAATGAAAGGCAATTGAATATGCACTGGATATTTCATTACATTCACCTTCGTCATATTACTTTATTAGAGCATTTCATAATTCGACTGACTGGCTCACCTCAAACAGGATCGAACGTTGGTCACATGTGGGATAAATTTCAACAGATTGTCATCCCCGTTTTTGTCATGCTCCTAAAAGATTTCTACTAGAAATCACATAACTGACAGGTCAACGGATAGATATATGCAGGTGACATGCCTACAACTGAACTCCCCGTCAGTGAAATTGTTTTTCTACACAACAATCCGTTCAAGTCATGCAATTATCAAGTGAACTATGAAACTTAGCAAACCGCACATTTTGCGACAAATATTTAAACCAGGACAGTAGACAACAAATTCGTGAAGGAGAGTACTCGTGGTCCTTCAGATTTGATTACACAATGTTACTTGCTAGAGGCTACCCGCGGTTGCCGAAGCGTCGGGGAATCATAACCTGCACTGGCAGTGCCTAGTCACCGATATGTCCAAATGCGTAATGTTCGCTTGTCCATTCCATTGTAAAGTGCCCTTACAATCAAATCTTTATATGGGACACTGCCATCGGTTCTCATATCGATCCCTATATGTTTCATCTCTAATTCAGATTCGTCACTCTCTATGTGAGGTTAAAGGTCAAGTTCTAAACACAATGGTGACCTCACTTCTTCTGCATTAACTTGATCGGAAAACGTTGATACGATAGAATTTTATCTGGTGACCAAACTAATGAATTACAATGATCAAAATCAAGAACCCTCAATTGACCAGGTTCAATAATTCCTAGCAAATGACGAAGGTCCCATGAGCGCTCAGTCCTTAACACATTGTTGATGCAGTCTAAATGATAGAAGCCACAGTGACAATGTAGTTTATAGTGAATAGCCTTCTAATGAAGCTCGAAAAATTTAATGAGGTCATTATACTCGATGTGGCCAGAGTATGCAACCTGATGACGCAACTGTTCATTCTACAATAGCACCAGCTGATAACAGAAACACCACCATTCTCAAATTCTAACAATCACCTTGTATTGGTTTACAGGATTTTCCTGTCTTTCACAGCCTTGTCACGTCATTTCTCGCCTCTGATACATCGTTTCTAAACCTCTTCGAATCCGTTCTCACCCTATTCACACCTATTAAGCGATATTTAGCGTTATCCAAGCCACGAAGTGTGTTTTCCTGAAATTAAATAACCGCAAACCCTTGTTATGTTCTCGTTTGTTGCTTCAAATCAAATGCACTTTTGGGGAAGATGGCATCAGACACTGAAAAACAATTGCATCTGGCAGAGAAATGATGTTGCAAGGACGAGAAAAGACGGTAAAATCTATAACCACTGTTGACCAAGCCGTCCAAAAAGTTATTCTTAAATAAGAAAAAACTAGACGGCCTCTCGTTGAAAATTGTGTAACTATTAAACTCTAAATAGACGTTTTATCAATGGGAAAATCTGTGATACTACTAGAATGACGAATGTTTTCGCGAAAACAGTAACTTGCACTGAAAACTGAATATTATTGCTGTTTGTCACTACAATTTCTAAAACCTGTGCCTTTTTCCGAACTCTCCAGTAATGTTTGCTGAGATCCTCAAGATGATGATGTTCACCATTTCCGATTGGACGACGAGGTAGTACCCTGTACACCAACCCTAGTGTATTGTCTGGTCTGGCCCCATACCTGCAATAACAAAATCTCAGGCCTTTTGAAATCGTAACAGTGTGATAATTCAAGGCGCCACTCAAACCCGTTATCGTACAATAACTAGGCCTCTCGGCAATGAGGTCCTGCAACGACCTTGATCATCATTTGCCAGCCATTCTCTAGTATTCCAGCATCCTAGAAAAATACTTCGAAGTAATCCGTCGTGGAATATCCATAACCAGCCGCATTTTCAAAATTCCATTATTTTTGTTGCTTCATTTCTGTGAGAATCATATCAAGCCTATTTGTCCCTTTCCGATAAAGTTATTTCAGACTAAAATTACTTTCATTTGCTTTGTTCAAAATTTTGTTTTTATATATTCACTCAATCAGCTCCTCGTTTTTCGTTTTCGGTAAATCTTCATTTAGAAGTCCATCATTCCGTGCTTGGTACGAATTTTTATCCATAGAGATAGAGTTTAGGAGTGCCTTCCGATGATTTTGTTTTATGAAACAAACGCTCTAGGCCCATTTCCATCCTGATGCTTCGTTCTCTCGATCACGAGGATCCGTAATGAACAGTTGTTTGTCACTCCTTTCTTACTTTAGATGAAGATTTATACCATCCTCTGATAAACACGTAATAGAATTATAGAAATCAATGCGGTGGCTTTCGTTCATCAAACTAGAACGATCGACAGTTCAGAGTTAATTCAGGGTTCTAAAATATTTCGATCCGAACGGTCAAACAACACAAATAGGGATAAACGTTCGTACCTCAGAAACGCTGCACCGGATCCCAAGTCCCAGACGGCTACTAAATGCCCGTCGGTCAGTAGTATCGAAATGAAATCTCCCCGTTTGTCCGAACTCAGACCCTCATAGATAAGCAATCCATCGGGACTACGAGGCATCAAAGTGATCATCAATGAAGTCTGTGATCGTGAAGTGCCTTGCAGTCCTTTATACACCGTGTACGAGTTGCCTGTGTAGGCAGGCAGATGAATAGTAACCGCTGCCAAAATTTAGAAAACATG